AACTTTAATTACATTAATCAATTATCAAGCAATGATAACCCTTACTAATTTAGTGTACAAATGATGAAGACTGCATTTCAGTGTTTTAGTTTGAATGTCAAATTTGTATGTGGTTACAACAGAATTAAAATGTTTGGGGTAATTAGAATAATAAAAAATGTTAATAACTGGGAGTAAAAATTTTGATTAGTTGATTATATTCATGACAATTCATTTAATTATAATTTCAAACAAAGTTTCACTCAGAGATGGACTGTCACTCATGGATGTTATGAGTAAAATAGAAGGGGATTTCTGCCCATTCCTGCTGACCCTTTGATTGAATAAATTGGGGTCGGTCTACTTTTCAAAGTAGGGAATTGTGGAGACACCCATTGCACTTTCTCCAGTGTGACGTTTCTCTAGACTCCCCACCATGTTTATTTCTCCCCATTTTTTTTTACAGTGGAGCACAGTCACTGGTGTGGTAGATCGTGGAGGCTTCCTTCTGAGTGGGTTTAGAAATTTCATTTACCATATATACTCATGGTTATACACAGTGTGAAAAGAGGGCAAAGCTGGTTTCTCTTCATTCATTTTCCATGGATGTTTTTTTCTCAGGTGGACAGCTGTCAGTTGGAGCAGATCTAGCCTATGTGGGATCCTTCTCGTAATACCAGCTTCAGGATGACACCACTCTGTTCCTATGGTTGTGTACAGTAGAGACCCCACTTATCATTAATTCTGGTTGCAGGAGGTTTTTTCCTTGCTCCTATGGTTGAGCTTGGGGGACTTTGTCTGCCTCATAATACTGGCAATAGGATGTACGTACACTGTTCCTATGGCTGAGTGAATGTCCCATGTCCTCCTCATATTTCCAGATGCAGAATGTCTCTTCCCTGTATCTATGGTTGAGTTATGATTTCTACTCATAATACTAGTTACAGATATTACTCTGTTCTTCCAGCTGAGTTGAAGCAATGCCATGACCCCATAATGCTGGGTTTGGTTTGTTGTAGTTTCTCCTGCAGTGTTTTTGTAAGTTTGTTTGGTTTCGGCTGAAAGCTGACTTCCTCTTTGTAATTCTGGTTGCTTGATGTATGACACCCTGTTTACTTGCAGTTACGAATGATGAGTATATATAACATGGTCCACATGCCTTAGCCACATGTTATGATACCTCTCATAACAAATTGCACTTGTGAACATCCTTTTTTCTGCCCGTTTTCATCTCATAGTACACCCGTTCATTCTAGGTGGTCGCTTTCCACTTGGTTTCAGTGTTGTGTGCCTAAGCCAGTCCTTCCACCTTGGCAATGTGGGATTTTGACATTTTGTAAGTGGAGATACAACCATATCAGAAGTTAACATTTTCTTACACTGAAAATGTATTTTCAATAGGTACTTACTTTCTCACCATTCCCACCCACTGATGGTGTCCTTTGTTCAGAGCCTAGAAATTCTTTAAAGTGAGGATTGAGCACAAATAGCAGAAGGATCGAGTTACACCAACATAGGTGGCACAATACTATTGGTGGAGAGTAGTCACGTGATATTTACATGTTCAAAAATAGTGTGTATTTGATAGGGTACATAAACTGATGTGCTGAGCATGAACATCTTTTAGCAATGCTTATAGGGCAGAAAGAAAATCGAGATAGCTTTGTGTGGGAGGAAGTGAGTACATAATGAGAAAAACATTTTCAGTGTAAGAAAATGTTAACTTTATAACATCACAAGGTCCAAAATAATACTAAGTATCCATTAAATTCCCACATAAAAAATGCTGATTGAAATGCTTCAATAAAAATGATGTAAAAACATTCACAAAAATTAGAAATTAAAAGCTCAAATTCAAGAGACTAAACAAAAACTTTGTAAGCAAATATAAGAAAATGACCATTATTGAACAGCATACAAAAATAATCAAGATGGAAGGAAATTGATTTAAGTGATACAAGTTTGTGAAAAGAATACTAAGATTAGGAGCAATTATCTAATTAACTGTTCATTATTTTATGGTATTACATTAATAAATTTAATGTTATGTTTATATTTCCCAGTGTCGTGTAGATGTAATTAGGATTATGACTGTTTTGGAGCAGATTGTATTGTAATACCTGAATGGATAAAGGGGAATCACAACCCATGATTATATTGGGTTTAGAAAGTGATGTACATGTATTTGGTAATAATACATCTTCATCATTAAGTTTTTTTGTTTCTTGAACTTCTCTAAAAGTCATTTTGTTAATTTTTAAAGAACTTTTTGAAAGCTTGCTACATGTACATGCACATGTATCCCCAAAACAGCAGAAATTAAAATACTTTGACTTGTACATTTTGCAGGTTCTGTAGAAACACTTTTACCAATGTCTACTGAAGTGGAAGGTAAAACCCTAAAGTTTCCTGATGACCTAGATATAGATGAAGAACAAGGAATAATTTACTTCTCTGATGGCAGTACTAAATGGCCTTTTAATAGAATAGCTTATCTTCTATTAGAGCACAGCAATTGTGGTCGGTAAGGGAATAACATTTCATTATATGAAGGTAGTTAAAAGCAGTGTATACGCTTTACAATCTTAGAATAATGCAGTTGATGTATAGAGAATCTTTTAATCTTGTACGTGTTGTTTTATTTAGGAATATGTACCTTCAATTAAAGTGTTTTTTTTTACAGTGATCAACAAAATACTAAAAAAGAACAGTAAAATGTTGAAGTTTAAAAAAACATGTTTGATCAATTCAATAGAATTTCATTGAGTGCAACTGAAATTGTTTGTGATTACCAAATACAACTTTCTGAAGAGTTGTACATGTTAATAAATGTTTTTTCAGTATTTAAAAATCTAGTCGTCAAGGTATTATTTTTGTGAAACAGATCTTCTAAACTTGGTGAGATTGTGTTGTAATAGTTTGTCAAAAATTGAGCAAAAAAGCTTTGTAATATAATTGTATATATCCTAATTATGTTTTTATGTACCTGTTTTTTCTCCATTTCTGTTTGTTACTTTATAATCAGATATTTTACCTTATATATTGTTGTTTTGTAAAAATTTACTTAGTAAAGCTTTTTCTTCAGGAACTTTCATGTTTTACTCATAGTGTTTTGTAACTGTGCTATTATAATAACTTTTGTAGTATTTTGGAGATCTAGCTATTTCTTGCTTACTTTCCAGAGTTTCACTCATACTTCCATCAATTAATTGATATAACTTGCCTTTAATCTTTTAAAAAAATTTATGTGTGAATTTGTTAATTAATTTCTTATGTCTTGGCATCAAGTTTACCTACCAAGAAACTAAAGTGTATTATGTGGGGATTCAGTATTATACTAATTAATCTTTCAGTAGGCATCAAGTTTACCTACCAAGAAACCAAAGTGTATTATGTA